GCCACCACGCCCGGCTAATTTTTTTGTATTTTTAGTAGAGACGGGGTTTCACCGTGTTAGCCAGGATGGTCTCGATCTCCTGACCTTGTGATCCGCCTGCCTCGGCCTCCCAAAGTGCTGGAATTACAGGCGTGAGTCGCCATGCCCAGCACCTCTTTATAATTACCCAGCCTCAGATATTCCTTTAGAGCAATGCAAAACAAACTAATACAGGGACCAAACTAGTCTCTATGGTTCTTTTACTGCGGTCTGATTACAGGGTTCATAAACTTTCTTCATTAGGAACGATGGTAACGTCAGAATTTTATATCATAAACATTAAGTTTCCAACCAGTGAAACTTCAAGTAGTTCATAACAAACTCATCTCATCATAGCAAAGTATTTTATCAGCCTTTATTTCCTATAGATATTTTATAATTTAGCAGTATAGTAATACTTTTAAGTTGGCATTTGTTAGCATTTAATTTTAAGCATTTTTAAAGTTTTTGTCATCACTGACTGAAGTCATGACAAATCAAGAAGGTAATAAAATCTCTATTAAATCACTGCCGTATTTATTGTGATTAATATAGCCTGATCTTAATAGTGAAATGTTTAGGAACAGTTTCTCAGGTGTGAAAGACTTTAAAATTTTGCTCTTTCTGGACCGAAGAACAATAGAGATTTGATCAAGTAAATGTGCCTATAAAGGATAACTTCTTTTTTTAACCAAGATTATACAATTTCTATTTATGTTTAAAATCAAATATGATAACCGTATCAATTATACATTAAGAAAGCCATATTTAGGAACCAACTCATTATTCTGAAACCTGGTAAATGAAGGGAAAGAATGAAACATATATTCTATCTCTGCTTTATGAGCTGACTGTTAAACCCACAAAATTGCACCTACCTCTAGCCAAAAGGAGTCCAATAAGGCCAGCAAAACCAATAACACCAAGTCTTGGAAAAAATCCAGGAGGTGCATTTTGGAGATAATCATAGCTGTCTACAACAGAATTAGACCAGGAAGCAGTTCCATAAATTTCTCATTAAAAAACAAAAGTCTTATACAGTATATAATATGTATATATAATATCAAGGGCTTTTCAAATCACATATTTTCTGCATTATGCTACTGTACTTCTTTTCAACATATTCTTTTTATGTAACATATAAACAAGATTTACTATTCACATAACAAATGTCCAATTTTCTTTTCTTTTTTTTTTTTTTTTTGAGATGCAGTTTTGCTCTTGTTGACCAGGCTGGAGTGCAATGGTATGATCTCAGCTCACAGCAACCTCTGCCTCCCGAGTTCAAGCGATTCTCCTGCCTCAGCCTCGAGTAGCTGGGATTCCAGGCGCCCACCACCTCACCCGGCTAACTTTTGTATTTTTAGTAGAGATGTGCTTTCACCATGTTGGCTAGGCTGGTCTCGAACTCCTGACCTCAGGTGATCCACCCGCCTCAGCTTCCCAAAGTGCTGGGATTACAGGTGTGAGCCACTGCGCCTGCCTGCAAGTGTCCAATTTTCAACTACCTTTGGTCCAACAACTTACTGACAATGAAGTAATGTTAAATTACTTTCATATTCCTGAAAGCAACAGATCTGAATCAGCAATTTGCACAGGGAGGAATACAAACACAGGGATCCTATGCTATTCAAATTCTTGTTATGTAAACACAAAAACAGAATAGATTTGGATAAATCTTTGGATAGATCTATTGCTATCTGAAGCTTTGCTACTTGCTCTCTGAAACTCAGGAACCAAAAACAAGCTGTGAGTGGTGGCTCATCCCTATAAGCTCAACACTTTTCAAGGGTAAGGCAGAAGAATCACTTGAGTCCAGGAGTTCAAGGCTGCAGTGAGCTAGGTCCGCACCACTGTACTCCAGCCTGACAGCCTGAGCCACAGAGCAAGACACAGCCTCTTAAAAAAAAAAAAAAAAAAAAAAGGCCAGGCGCGGTGGCTCACTCCTGTAATCCCAGCACTTTGGGAGGCCGAGGGGGGAGGATCACAAGGTCAGGAGTTCGAGACCAGCCTGACCAACATGGTAAAACCCCATCTCTACTAAAAATACAAAAAAATTAGCTGGGAGTGGTGGCACATGCCTGTAATCCCAGCTACTCAGGAGGCTGAGGCAGGAGAATTACTTGAACCCGAGAGGTGGAGGCTGCAGTGAGCCAAGATCATGCCACTGCACTCCAGCCTGGGTGACAGAGT